CTTGGGAACCCTGCAGCCCAATGGTATCAATGTGGATTTCACAAGCTTCAAAATCTCTCCTCCCCCTACCGCATCCCAAAACCAGCCCAGGTCGTCCCCGCCTCCCTAACCTGTGCTTCCTCCCACCTATCCCCTCCTCCCACCTCAAGCCGCACCCCCATTTCCTACCTACTAACCTCATCCCGCCCCCTTGATCTGTCCGTCCTCCCTGGACTGACCGATCTCCTCCCTACCTCCCCACCTACACTCACCTTTACTGGCTTCACCCCCGCCTCTTTGACCTGTCTGTCTCCTCTCCACCTATCTTCTCCTCTATCCATCTTCTATCCGCCTCCCCCTCTCTCCCTATTTATTTCAGAACCTCCTTCCCCTCCCCCATTTCTGATGAAGGGTCTCGGTCCGAAACGTCAGCCTTCCTGCTCCTATGATGCTGCTTGGCCTGCTGTGTTCATCCAGCTCTACACCTTGTTATATCAGGGGAGCTGGATAATTGGGATCTCACTAATGGATAGAGATGGATATTGGAAGCTGTTGACTGTTGAGTGCATACTGTTGCTTTCCAATGTGCTGGAGATCAAGAGTGCACTGTGGGAGGAAAACAGCAGTGACCACAGGAGTGGGCAAGCTTAAGTGTCTTGACTTGTGAGAGAATGGGCTGCAAAAACCACCAATGTGGCTTTTAAAGGGGAAGAATATTACACACACAACCATGCACTGTACAGGACATGGACCAGCAGGGTCCCTAATCTCTGGTCATCCTGATGCATTGCTCCCAGTTGCTGTGTGATCCCTGCGCCAATATTGTTGACTAACTCATCCGCTGTAACACTTTTGGACACAGGGCAGGGAAGGATACAGATGTTGTAGGACAAGGACACCAAAGATCTCGGCAGGACCTTCATATACCTTGTTCCTCTTGCTTCCAGATATTGCAGCTACCTCTCACCACAGATATTAATCCATGGTACGTCCTGTGTAGCTATGGAATTTTGCCTCTTCTGGAACAATTACATTTGGGGCTATTCAGATCTCCAAGCAACCAGATGCAAGGACAAACCCATGCTATTTATTAAAAAATATGTCAGATAATGTACAGGCATTGTCAGCCATGCCAGCAAACTGCCCTGAATAAGTTTTTTTTTAAAAATCTTTTTCTTCTCTCTCCCAATATGTCTTATTATACTCCCTGGTTCTGCAGCTGGACCTCTGACCATGCTGCCATGGTCTGATGGCATGGCCTCCTCTGCTGTTGCTCTGGGAGGACTTCCCTCTGCACCACCCACTCAACCAGACCCGGCAAGCCCCTGCTGGGGAATTGCAGTACCTGCTTCTCCTTTTCTGCCATCTTCTGGAAACATCCTTGACCAATTAGGGCAAAATCAGAATGGCAGTGCATATCTGGGTGCACAGCAGACTTTTAAAGATGGCACAGAATGCAAGGGATACTGGTCTTTTGGCAGATATTTGCTGAGTGGTAAATTGTTTCAGAAATGATGTGTGATAAGATGGGGCTTGAATCAGATATGGACACAGTTGGGCAGGGTGGGTAAAATTGAGGAAAGCAGAGCAAGGAGGAGTCAAAGGAGGAAACACACCAAGTGTTTAAGTAGCAGAATACGTGCAACATTTGCAGACAAGACCAAGATATTGGCCATTATTGAGTGGCTTGGAAGTTGGAGGGGCTTTGCACAATGTGGTGGCTGAAAAGAAATTTATGGTATGTGAATCTACTGACATAGTCAAGTATTTGCCTGGATCAAATTTTCAATATCTTTTGAACATGAATCAAGAACACATCAAGGAATGAGCTAAAATTGAAATGTAAGAACACTAAGCTAATATAGATTAGTTGCAAATTTAGCAAATGTGAGTTAAGTCCAATATGAAGAGAATTCTAACCAAATGATTAAACTGACTAATGGCAATACTTGGGTGCTTTTCTTCTTCTGTCTTTTTCTCTTTTGCTTAAGGGATACATATATGTATGATGTTTTACCTCCTGTTGCACCTAACTCTCAATTCATCACATCATCACATGTCCAGAGGTGAGATTACTAAATCTGACCCCATTATACAATCTTGACTTCCAGCCTGCCTTTGACCTGCTCTACCAGTGACCCAAGAATGGTCTTTCCTGGTAACTCATTCATAAATTACACCAACAACACAAGATGTATCCTATTTTAGAAATAAATAAGATTATATTGTTTTGCGATGTTAACCTTTCTAGTAGTATCTGAATAATGTGAATACAGGCAATACCCAATGTACGAACAGCTGACTTATGGCGTCTGACATACGAATGAGATATCATACAATGGTGTATTAACATTAATTTTAAAAATGTTTTCTTATATTTACAAATGGCTAGTTTATATTGTCTGGTATGGTGTCCCAACTTGTGTATAAATCAACTTGTGAATGCGCTTGAGAATGGAACCTGTTCGTAATAGACTGCTTTCTAATTGTATTTTTCCAGATCTCTCAAAACGATGATGCGCAATTTTGAATTTTAAACATTAAACTGCATATATCAGCAATTTGCAATGATAACAACAACTGACAATTTTAGATATGAAATTTATCATAATCCTATTACATATGTATGGAACTCTTTAACCTTTTGTGTCTGCATTGTACTGTACAAGATAGTATTTTGGTGAAGCAAGTGGTTACAGAAGAATAAGTTCTCACGTTGGACATCTGGATATTTCCATGCAAGCACAATCCTCAACATGTACTTATTGTTGCTTTTTTCCAAAAGTACAATGAGTTTTCCTCATGAATCAGTGAGTAAGTGGAGTAATCTGGGCTAGCAATGTTCTGTTTATAATCCTTGTTCTGTGCAGCGTTGACTTTGCTCCATATAGCTGAAGAAAGGAAAGAAAATCGTCCATGGTGTCAGCTCCTAAAATTTTATATGACTACATGTTTGGATTTTTGACTTAGTCTTGTGTCTTGCTTGACTGTGATTCTTCCTGTCGTCAAATTGCTAACAGTATGTTACTATGAAGACTAATAAAATGGCACTTAGGAATCTTTCATGGTGTTTGAGGCCCATAGGTAACATGAATTAACATCACTCTCACCCTTCAGGATAGAAGGAAAATGCAAAAAAACTGGAATTAAATAAGAAGAAGCCATTAGCCCTTTAAACAACTTGAAGAAGGAAGGATTAATTACATTAGGTTACATATGTTGAAGTTATCTGTGAGGAATATTCTTTCTATTCTCTCAGTTTTCCTAATGTTTCTTTTCTTCATTATCTTAGATGGCAGTTCATACTTGGGGCAGCGTTCTGGTACCTTGCTGAAGTAGGCAAGTTGTGACTGGATGCAGTTGACATTATTTGCAACCAACTCATAACTGTACTCTTCCCTCTTGGTAAGAAAATTATAAAATATTGAGCTACTAGTATATAACCTATCTTTTGTGCTATTTAACTGTTTTGGAAGTACTCTTATGAAGTTTAATTACTGAAGTAGTTTTCTGTTTCTTTGATTTACAATTATGTCACAAACTGTGGAACATGAGTATCATGAGACTATTTCCTTGAATCATTTTGCACTGCTTGCCTAAATTTGGTTGCCAACTTTACGCTAAATATCACAACGATTTATAAACATTGTACTGTCAACAGTCCTGCTGCATGAATGCAAGGTACGTTATACAGCTGTACTTTTTGACCACAGTCTCATTCGCTCTCCCCCTCCCTCACCATCACCACCCCCAGTACCCTTGCCTTGCTTTTCTTTGGACACTTTGTGTTCTTGTTTACTCTCTCCATATTAGATATGCCTCTATTTGTTGGGAAAATTTGGATTATGCAGTTTGTTGCAGTTAATCCATTACGTGGCATTGCATTTGGGTATTTTTAATAAGATTATTTCAAGATAGCTGGCCTGTTGGAATAACCCATTGTAGTTCTTTCTGTAGCTATTAAAAGTTTATATGAAATGAGTTATGAGGATCTGTACTTGTTTATTGAGGGTCAGACTCTATCTTGATGTTACAGAAGCTTTGTATCTTCAGCTAACAGCCATTCATTATAATAATTAGTGCCTGCTGTAGTCAGGACAAATTTGACAATGTAGCCTTACCTTTTTGGGTAAGCTGTGCTGCCCCTGGAGTTGCCAAAATGTGCTCTCAGTAGTTCTAGATAATTAATAAACCAGTAACAAACTTGGCCTTTGCAAGCCTGCACCCAGTGCATAATCAGGGAACAGAAATTTCTGATGGGCATCAGGTCAAATGTTTGCACTTTTCTAGTAAGTAGGTGATGTTGGGCCCTCTTGTGGTGCAGTGGTAGTGTCCCTACCCTTGGACTGAGAGGCTTGGCTTCAAGTCCCACCTGATCCAGAAGTGTGTAATAAGATCTGAACAGGTTGATTAGGAAAATAGGTTGAAATAAAAATGTAGTTGATGTTGTCCCTATCTTTCAAACATTACAGTTATGGTTATGTTGAAAGTGATAGTGCAGTATGATTCAAATAGGGAATCCGGTTGCTTTATTCGTTGTTTTTGACATCTGTTGGATTAAAAAAGTGACCATCTAGCAACCATTGACCAATTTCAGGAAAACTATTACATCTGACTACAACAGTGTCAAGAAAACTAAAGGTAGTGAATAACGTAAACTTGTACTTTTTATTCTTCAGAGACATCCTTTTAGGTGTATATATTTTCAAACTGTTTTGAGATTATGCTGTCTTCAATATTAGTAACAGTGCAAAAATAAATACTGTTAATATATTCAATGATCTAAAATAGATTTTGTCTATTAATGGCTGAATATTTCTCAAAAATGCAATGATTTGAGATAATATGGGGGATGATGGCATAACTGTTCTTGTCTTGGTTATATAATTTTGGAACTGATCAGATATGTATTTGAGAGATTAGCAGATTGCACAGTATTTTAAGGCAGAAATGTAAAGAAAATTTGAATTCCCTAAGGGGAAACTGTTTGAAAGATCTGATTTAACAGAATTATGGCAGAATTATCTAATTGGCTAGCTCTCCCTGGCAGGTTCAATTGAGGTACTCAACAGGGAATTAGAGGATTATTTTAACAGGAACAATGTGCAATGTACGGGGTAAAAGCAGAGATTGAGAGGTGAGCCAGTGTAGAATGAGGCCCTTTGGCCCATCATGTCGACACAGGCTCACCTCTCAATCTCTGACTTTACCTCATACCATTGCACATTGTTCCTGTTTAAAATAATCGTCTAATTCCCTGTTGAGTACCTCAATTGAACCCGCCAGGGAGAGCTAGCCAATTAGATACAAAATTGCCTTGACAGTAGAAGACAGAGGGCTCTTGTTCAGGCTGGAGACCTGTGACCAGCAGTGTGCTGCAAGGATTGGTGCTGGGTCCACTATTGTTGTCATTTTTATATAACTGATCTGGATGAAAATATAGGAGGCATTGTTAGTAAGTTTGCGGATGACAACAGAATTGGTGGTGGTATTGTGCACCGTGAAGAAGGTTATCTAAGAGTACAATGGGATCTTGATCAACTGGACCAGTGGGCCAAGGAATGACAGATGGAGTTCAATTTAGCTAAATACAAAATGTTGCATTTTGGTAAGACAAACCAGGGCAGGACTTGCACAGTTAATGGTAGAGCCCTGAGGACTGTGTTGAATGGAGACACCTAGGGGTGCAGGTACAAGGTTTCTTGAAAATGGCATTACAAGTAGACAGGGTAATGAAGGCATTTGACATGCTTGCCTTCATTGGTCAGAGCGTTGAGTACAGGAGTTGGGACATCATGTTATGGTTGTACAGGACATTAGTAAGTCCACATTTGGAGTACTGCATACAACTTTGGGTGCCCTGCTATGGAAAGCATGTCATTAAACTGGAAAGCGTTCAGAAAAAATTTATAAGGATGTTGCCGGGAATGCAGGGTTTGAGTTATAAGAGACGCTGGATAGGCTGGGACATTTTCCCTGGAGCGTAGGAAGCTGAGGGGTGACCTTGTAGAGGTTTATAAAGTCATGAGGGGCATAACTAAGGTGAATAGCCATGGTTTGTTCCCCAGGTTAGGGGAGTCCAAAACTAGACGGCATAAGTTTAATATGAGAGGGGAAAGATTAAAAAGGGACTTTGAGGAGCAACTTTTTCACAGAGGGTGGTGTGTACATGGAATGAGCTGCCAGAGGAAGTGGTAGAGGCTAGTACAGTTATAACATTTAAAAGACATTTGGACAGAAACGTGGATAGCAAAGGTTTAGAGGGATATGGGCCAAACACAAGTAAATGGAACTTGTTCAGTTTAGGAAATCTGGTCGACATGGATGAGTTGGGCCAAAAGATCTGTTTCCGTGTCATATGACTGCATCACTCTGACTACGTTTCCGCCACTTCCAGCCAGTATGTTTCAAACTTAAACTACTTGCTGTGTGAAACTGTGTTTTTGCATATGACATTTGTTTCTTCTGCAAGTCATTTAAAACCTGTGTCCTCTCATTCTCAATCCTTGCATGTACGGGAACAATTTCTCCGTTTCTGTTTGGTCCAGCCCCTCTTGATTTTGAAAGCCTTTTTCACATCTCATTTTAGATTTCTCCTCTCTTAGGGAAAAAGTCCCATCTTCTCCAATATATCTGATATTTCTTGGAATCCTGGAACTATTCTTGTAAGTCTCTTCTCCACTCTCTCCAATGCACTCACATCCTTTCTAAAGTATGGCACACTGAACTGTACAGTCTAGCTGAGGTCTAGCTATTGCCTTATGCTATGCCAAATTTGGCATAACTTTATTGCACTTGTGCCCTATTCTCTTTATTAATACAACCCAGGATACTGTGTATTTTAATTGCTGTCACCTGTCCTGCTACCTTTATTGACTTATGTACGTATACATCCAGGACCCTTTGCTCTTGCATGCCTTTAGAAGTATACCCCATATGTTATCTTGACTTCCATGTTCTTTGTACCAAAATAAATGACCTCTCACTTGTCCATTTTGAACTTCATCTCTCATCAATTTTTCCACTCCAACAACTTGTAAGTCTTTTCCAAGCTCTATGTTGTCCTCTTCACCATTTCCAAGTTTTGTATCATCCTCAAACTTTGTCTCCTGGTCACTAACATCTATATCGTTTATATAAACCAAGAAAATTAAGATTCCCAGTATCAACCCCTGGAGAACTCCTCTACAAAGCATCCTCCAGCCTGAAAAATATCCATTAATAATTGCTCTCCATTTCCTATCAGCCATCTTGTACCCACATCGTTACTGTTCCTTGTCGTCCGTGAGCTATCACCCTGCTTACAAGTCTGTTATGTGGCACTGTATTGAATGTCTCTTAGAAGTCAATGCACGCAACATCAACAGCATTACCCTCCTCAAACCTGTCTGTCACTTCATCAAAAGAAATCCCAAGTTAGTTAAACACTATTTTACCTCAAACCATTTTCAGCCTTTCCATGTTGGCTTTTCTGGATCACATCATCTTTTCCCATGGGACTATTAATTCTGTACCAAATAATTGTTTCTACAAATTTCCACATCACCAAATTTAAACTGACTGGTCTATAATTACTGGGCTTGTCCTTTTAACTTGTTTTGAACAAGGATTTAATGTTTGTAATTCTCCAGTCGTCTGGCACCTTCCCTGAGGCTAAGGAAAACTGAGGGATTAAAAGCAGTACATTCATAATTTCCATTCTCACTTCTTGCAATCTTTGCATTTGGCCTTGGTGTCTTGTCAACTTTTTAAATATTGACAGTGTTTCTAATATCTCCTCATCATCAATTTTGAACTCTTCTAGTGACGATGTTTGCTCTTCTGTCTTCAATTTCCCTGCAGATTTATTTCTGTACATCCTTTCTACCATTGGGTGGTCTGTAGACTATAGAGAGCACTGTTTTTCTTTTGTAGCTCTAGCAAAATTGATTTTACCCTTGAACACTCTGTGACCACCTCTTTCTCCTGCATGCATTGCTCTCCTAAACCAATACCGCAATCTTTACTCCTTTACTTACTTTTCTGTCTTTTCTGAATACCTAGTCCTTCCTTTCCTTGAGCCAAGCCTATATTATTACCACAACATAAGGCTGTAAGGAATAGGTGCAGCTGCAGACTGTTCAGCCCATCAAGCCTGCTCCACCATTCAATTGAATCATGGCTGATTCAACACTCCTGTTGTCTATGTTCCTGCCTGTCCCCATAAGCCTTGATTTCTGTTCCGGTCAAGCATCTATCTTAGATATACACAAAGAATCTGCCTTACAGCTTCCTCTGTCCTCCGAGAGAAGAAATTCCTCCTCATCTCAGTCTTAAATTGGTTCCCCTTTATTCTGAGACTATCTCCTCTGGTCCGAGACTGTCACATGCAGCGAAAAATCCTCTCAGCCTTAACCCTGTCGGGTCCTTTTTAAAACTGATATGTTTTAATGAGATCGCCTCTCATTTTCCTAAATTCCAATGAGTAGAGTCCGAACCTGTTCAACCTTTACCCATAAAAGAATCCCTCCACACCAGGGATCATCCTCGTGAACCTTCTCTGAGCTAATACCTTTAACATGGATAATCAGCATTCCACATGGCAATCGATAACTACTCATGGGGAAGTCTGATTTAAGGAGCTTGTAACCAAATACCAATACTCTTGAATCTTCACTATGTATTTTGTATACAACTTAATAGTTCTTTTTGTAGATTTTTTTTGGATTAGGTTAAATTTAAATCAGGATACAATTCAATGACGCATGCTAAAGCAATTTTTACATCAGATCTTTGTTATTTGTGCAGTCAGAGCTGGTGTACGTGGGGTCATTTCAAAGGCAGCTAGGCATTGTTTTGAAATTCATGCACTTTTGAAATATATGCAATTTATATGCATTATTCATACTTCATTTTGGGATATTGGGGCATTAACCAAAATTAAATTAGATATAATTTTTGAAAAAGTCTTAAATGCAAACACAGATTGGTATCACACCACATGGATAAGAACAGCTCTAGGTACAGGCCTTGATTGGTAATTACAACTTGGCAGTGTTAGGAAGCTGCAGTTAGTTTTAGTGTCACTGGTCTAGTAAGGGATAAAAGTCAACATTCATGATTTTGGCTGAAGTATGAATGAAGGCTAATGACTCTTGGTCTTTGTGGAAATGTACCCCTGGAACAAATTTCTTCCGTGAAGAAGCAACGGGGCATGGGTTGGGGAGGAGAAAGAAATGGGGGGTGGGGAGATGGAGGTGGGAAACAAAATTCCTGGTAGGGTTTGTAATGCTTAAGCATTTAAAATTCTGGTTTGTTTTGTGCTGCTAAAATTTATAAACTATATGGATAGTTTATTTAAGATGTTTAAAACACCAACTGTATAAATTTAAACAACTTAACCCCTTCTGAGCAGGTGTTTTTTGGTTTGGACATGGGCTATCCAAAGTCCTGGCTGTAATGATACTTCAATGTTAGAATGGTATGGAGACTGACTGATTTAAATTGGAAATTAGCTTTAAGAATGTGTTCTTTGATATATGTTCATTTTTGTATAATAGTCATATTTCTATTTTCAGCATTGACTGCATTAAAATACATATGTAAAATAAATTGACTTCTGTATTTGCACAGAATAATTTAATTTGGATATATGTGGTCCACTTTTTTTTTTTTTTTGAAGCATGGTTTGTCATGCCTGAAATGGAAAAATAATTTTTAAGCTAAGAGGTGACCAATTCTACAAAATCATTTGCTAAAGCTGCTTTTTTAAAAAAAACAGAATATGAAAGATTGTCAAGAATAGTTAAATGTTTTTCAGGTTTGTGCATTTAATCTTTCTCTTTGTGGGTGAGCTAAAGTATTGCCCTGAAGGCATGGTTGGCATTGAGAAATTGCCAAGCGGCAAATAGCATGAAAACCTGCGTGTGCATTCACTAGAATGTTATGTTGGACTATTTTTCTAATCACCTCAGGCGGAGATGTTATTACACATCTCTGGAGCAGTTGGGACTTGAACCCGGGTCTCTCGGTTCAGGGATAGGGATGCTACAGCTGCACCACAAGAGGATCCAAACATTATATTGGAAGACCATTCGGATAACGTCACGCATTTGCGTGTTTAAAACTTAATTTAGTTAAAATACTGCCAACGGATTCATTGCTCATCTTCAGTTAAAAATGTTACAAGTAAACAATCCTGAATTTGGTTGTAGAAAATTCCTGTTAACTACTACAGTAGAAAAAAATTTCAGCAACAGCTGCTTTCGGTTTAATATGAAACTGTTTAAATTCTTTTCCTTGAATCTGGTTAGTAAACCTATGCTAGGAATAATAGCTAACATCAATTCTCTATCAGTAATTTGTTTGATGGAACTTCAGAAAAACATGTTTTTCATCTCTCCGGTGATGCTCAACAGCAACATTTTATGAAGAAGAGAGAACAAACTGAGACTTTGTTTCTCGGAACTGTGCCTCAACAACAGCAAATCTCTGCCAAACCACATGCAATGGGTGGAACCCCAAAGAGGCCAGCATTTACAACCCTGGAGCCTATTGGAAATTGTTGGAACTAAATGATTTACCATTTTATTTTTAGGTTTGCTGACATGGGTAATCTGATTAAGGTGCTAACCAGGGACATAGACCACAATGCTTCACATTTTTTCTTGGATTTTGAAAGTAAGTTTGATCCTTCACAGCTGGTGTACACAAAATTTGTTCTGTCTCACCAGAGTGAAGGCCAGTACAGGTATTAGAAATGCACGCATCAGCAGGATACTATCACTTAACAATGGTTGCATGACGTCTTCATTGTGGCTGCAAACTTCATCCCATAATTTAATTGTCTGTTTAATAACTTTAAAGAAATTTTTATTTTTAAAAAGCTTTTTAATTTCCATTCACCGATTCTCAGGTCCTTTTTGTCAAGATGGCTGTTATGCCTGCAAGCAGCTTTAGCTACTTCAGCACCTCTGTCTCTGGGGAAGGGGATAAACGTTAGTGACATCTGGCACATGTCGCTGCTTACAGTGTAACCAAGAAAACCACGCAGCATTTCTAGTTTAAGCAGTTGGCACAGCTGGTAAAATGCTTTACTTGTAGATGATAGAAGTCATATGAGCTAATAGTGAATTTCTGTCACATGCCTTGTCTTTTTAAAAGTTTTTTTTAGTTACTCCTCACTTTTTGGCTATTCTACATTTAAGGGGAAAAAAAACTTTTTCTTCCTTCTTGTCTTGGCAGGTACCTTAACATGGGGAATCTTCTTAAAGTTTTGACATGCACAGATCTTGAGCAGGGGCCAAATTTTTTCCTTGACTTTGAAAGTGAGAATGCTCTTCATTTTATATTCCTTTTCTGCCTGCAGTAGACCGCATCTTTTTTACATTGCATTGGGTTTGTCGCATGTTTTAAATTGCTTTGCATGGTAAAGCTGGAATGGTCAGCACTGTTTTTCATTTTTGTTTCTAATCTGACTGATCACTAAATTCTAGTGAATACTGAAATACATTGGAAAATAGATGTGAACTTAGATGTGGCTGACTGGTAAATATAGAATGATAAAATGATTTTTCAGTTTTAAAAGAAGTTCCATTCTGTATGTGTGCACATAACCCATATATACACAGTTAACATTCCATTCCAGCAGTCTGTTTGATCTGGAAGTATTTCATTTTCGAAGATTTGTTGTTTACATTATAATGGGTTTAATTTTTTTTATTTGACAATAATATCATGAAGCAATTTCAATATTTGGGTATTTTGTAGGTAGTTAAATGCTAGATTTCCACTTGGCGAAGGAGTGTACAAATCTTTTGCATGTACTCTTTTATATGCTCCATGTCCATGTGAGAATTGGTAATTGTTTTTGGGGCATTTAGAAATGTCTTTAACATATTACCCAGTCAGTCTTATCTGTTCTGTTCATTTCAATTTGAATTTGTTTGGCTGCCATTTATATTGCTGCAGTTGCTTTGCTTGCAGAAATGTACAAAGCATGTTGTACGAGGGTCTGAAATATAACTGTATTAAAAAAAAGTAGCTTTGGAGCTTCATGCCTCCCTTTCCTGCTAGATGCTGCTGTTTATGAATATGAATTCTAAGCATAGAATGTAAATTTGTGGCTATATCTGTTTTCAGCTCGCTATTAAATCTATTGCAGTGTGTCATTTCAATACAGGCACCATGTAGCACATTTGATACAGTTAGTTCTAAGTGCACTTTGACTTCACCCAACAATTGTTCCACATCCCAAATCTGCCAATGAGCAGCTTCTGTAAAAACTATCTGTGCTAAGAGATGATGTTATGCAAAAGACATTCAGTGCCAACACAGTTTTGCTCATTTGCAAAGAATTGTACACACTGAGGAATCAAATTTGTTTTTGAAGGTGTACTTAAACACCTTAAAGTCTAGCTTGTCAATTTGTTAAAATTCATTGCAGTTGTAGCTGGTATATAAATCTATCTCTGCGGTGTATATTGTGATGAGGGCTACACTGGGGTTATTTTCCTGACCTTATTTAATGACTGAAGCACTGGAGTAACATCTTTTTGTAACATACTGAATATTAATGTGTCTGTAGGCAAAGTTTGTTTTTAAGCATTAACTAAAATGATATGTTGTTCTCCTCTTTAATTAGGAATGAAAAATAATATTTTGCAAAAGATTAACATGGGACACTATCACCCAAGTCTTTCACTACATGGTGCTTGTACTTCACTTTATTTTAGTCTCTCTGTGATTTTCTAAAAGTTATGCGTTAACCTGGTGAACTGTAACCAAAATATTGCATGCCTCTGGATTTGTATATATCATCTTTATTTGTCACTGTGTTTAGGATTGGGATGAAAGAAAATTAAGTTCATCTGTGCTTGTAAAGTTATGAAAATAATTGTGTATTAATTGGCATCACACTGAGCTGTGTTTTCTACTCTGGTTATTCTTCCCACCTAAAACGAAAAGAAAGTCACGTTCTCTGGCTTGTTCCTCTCAACAGCACCAACTTAGCATTACTTATCAGTAGAGCCAATGGTGCTTTACCAGCTACTTAGTGCATTGCGTGAAAAGCCAGAACAAATAATGACGTTTCATTCTCCCCATTCCCTTCCCTGAGGATCCTGTTTGCAAGTAATTTCCATTAAGACCACGCAGCTGATGTTAACTGAAGAACAGTCTCTAACTGAATAAGTTATAAGGGCACCCACCATAATATAAAGTACCGTGGCTGTTATAAACCAAGTCAAGTTTATCTCTTCTGCGTTATCATTGGTCTTCTATTCTGACGTCCTTGATGATAACAAGTAAAATTTATGTTGCTTTTATATTACATAATTACTTCAGATTGAGGCATTGCTTACGGCACTGTGAAATCCACCCCACTATCATTTAGGGCAGATTAGATGGCCATAATGGAAATAATTGGTGTCTAATTGTTCATAAATACAATTCTTAACTAATTTCTCTTCACTTCAGCCTGCCCTTAGTGGCTGGGGAAGTTTCATTTAGACCTGCATTTTGAAAATTGCAGTGGTGTCTTCTGTGGACAAATTGCTCTGGATGCCATACAATGGGCAGATAACACTGCCAGGGGCAGTGTCCAAATTGCTTCTCAAAGAATTAGAGAAATGCTTCCTCTGAAGGCAATAGCTTCCCCTTGCTTGTCTTAAAGCACTGCTGCTATGGAAAGACTGTCAGCTGGTGTGCCTAAAGATGAAGCACTTCACTGTTACTGGCAGGTTAAGCCAGCAATTGAATTCTGTATTTATGTGATGTCGATTATGCCATCAGTTTGTGATTTGCCTGCACCGTGTAACTTTAAAATGCTAACTTGATGCATGTAAGAGATGAAATACAGCTCTGGGGGACAAAATTATTACATATGTATGAACTGATTTGAAAGGTAATTATTTGTTTATTCCCATTGGATAATACTTATTTAAAATTCTGGCCTTATCGTGAGTAATCAATTCTATCTATATATCTCAAGTGGCAAATTATGATTGATGTAAGATTAAGCACTATTTAAAATTGCAGTTTTGTAGATTAATATCATCCCTAAGATGCATTATATATACAAATGTGTACATATGTATATGTGTATGTACGTGTGTATATATTTGGTTTCGGTATTTGTGAACAAATGCTTTCAAATTTTTTTGTTGTGCTTCGTTATTTGCTGCACTTCAGTTGAGGGGGCTGACTTACTAAACTATTAACATTTACTTTGTTGAAATAAGTTATTCCATGTCAACCAGTGAATAAGGAAGACTAGCTGTCATTCGATAATCTGACCTTCATGCCCTTGTTCAATGGAGATGAGGAGTTCTGATTACTTAATAGCCTTGCACTTATAGCAGATTGAAGCTTCACTGCATTATTGCAGTTACAAGTGCTATATAGTCCTTTTGCATGCTAAATGTATGATTTAGATGCTTTTTGCAATGTTTGTTCTGGCTTGCAGTAATCCAAAACCATTCATGTCTACGTTTTATGCAACAAATCCAAACAGTGTACGTGGTTGCGCTGTTTTTGTCAAAATTATTTGGATCAATATTTGCTGCTATTCCGTGTTCTGTGTGCATCTATTCTCCAGTCTTCTGCAGTGTTTTAGATCAGAAATTTTCAGTGTAAAAAAAATGCCCAAGACTGCTGATTGTACGTGTACTTTGTGTTTGCAAAGTCAAAACATTTTAGCACAAGTTTTCAGAGCATTGAAAAACATGAAACCTACTGTTCCAATGGAGCTAACGTTTTCCCCACATTGCTAAGCTACTTTGTTTCTAATCTTGGTCAACAGTCTTTGATTGTCCATGTTTTGTCATTCATGTTACTTGTCTTTCTTTTGTCTGCAACCGTTTTTTTAATTACAGGTGAAATGTATTTGCATCTCTCATTAACTATGGAATTCAATTGATCCTTAATCCATTTTGTTTTCTATATTTGTTCAGAATATTTGCAATAAATACACATATGTGTCATTAGATTATCTATGTGCTACTTACAAATATACATTATTGATCTCTAATGAATGTTTGATTTTGGAGGTGTTTTTACATAAGTGATTGGAAAACCTCAAGAATATTTGTTCTGTAGCACTGTTAATGCTGATGTAGGTTCACTCTGAAGGAGAAAATAAATAATCTGCCGTAATATAATTGGTATTGTAAGTTGATATTAACTACTAATGGTCCAGTAGAATTCTTAAAAATAAATGTGATTTTACTAGATAATACCTGACAGAAGTGTTTCCACACCTGTCAAAATTTAATTCAAAAATAACAGCTGGAATATTTATGATAATAACTCATTTAAGTTCACTTATTCCCACAAGACCTTCATTTGTTTAGAAACATATTTTTAAACTTTATGTCGTGAAAAGTTATTTAGGACAGTTTGTAAATGGAAGAGTAATGGTTTTGAAATATATAGCAGATTTAATTTTAGAGGTACTGATTATTTTACTTCAGGTAGATTGGTAGAAACATGGAAGATACAGTCTTATCTCACCACATTTACATGCTAAAATTGGCAGATTTATCATAATAGTAAACAATAGAAGCAAATCCTGATTCTTGATTCCCAAAAACTGATAGTTTGGGATTGTTGGGAAAAAATGCAAAATATCTGAAACAATAGTCCAATGTGTATTTGTAGAAAATGAATTGCTATGGTATAGG